ACTGATGTCTGAGTGACTTGACATTGTTCCCCCTTCAACCACTAAACTCCCCATATTGCTGGTAAGGTTCGTTGTCGTGTTTAACAGCTCTTTCGCCTATATGGCTCTACCAAGATGAATCAAAACCGGAACTTCGAAACCCTCCATTCCCCTTTGTGCGAGATGAAAAGCTCGAACTGGCCCAGAGTCGGGCTCAGACTATCTTAAGATCTTAATTCCATGTTTTGATCTCTCTAATGAAGCAATATTTTGCTTTTGCGATCCAAGCCTCTAAACGAATCATGTTTCGATGACTTGCAATGTGATTGTGATGGCAAACTGGAGTGAGTATGGCATTGCCTAGCCTGCCAACTCGTAGCTCATTTTGTAAAAAGATAATATCCCTTTAGTCCTTAAGAATCCACCCCCCACCCACCACCCTCCTCAAAGACCGATGAAAGGTCGTCGTTCTCACAGTCCGTGTGCGTAACATTTACCCAATGACTAGAGAAGAATGCAATCATCATTGGCCCAAATGACAACCCCGGTGCCGTGTCTGACATTGGCTAAAAGCATCACAGCATAAGGAGAGGGTGAAAGTCAAACCTTGGGCATCCTTATGACAGTCCCCTTGAATGGCACACTCTAGTCCGTTCTATTCCGCATAGAGAATGACAAATCTCGCTCCAAGGCTGATGCCCACTACCACCACTGACACTCATGTGACACAGTAAGCAGGAAGAGAGAGCGAGAGAGAGAGAGAAAAAACCCTCCACCTTGCACATGTGACACGTAAGACCCACCCGATTGGTGTTGCATGTTTGTGCTTTCATGTATGCGCTTTTGTGTTTAAGTTGCAATTCATCGAGTCCAATGAGTGGTATGTGTGGATGTGTGTGTGCGTGTGGTAGGAGCTCATTTCATCACCATGTCGTTTTTCAAACGTTTGAAACTCACTCCATTGAAAACAACCAATGCTAAAGATGGATCTGATGACCAGACCAATCTCAGTAAGTTTCCATACCTTCTACTCCACCAGTTTCTACTTTCTCACGCTTTGTTTGCTCCTGAAATTGACAGACGGTGGAGGTTAATGCATCGTGCTGGATAGTGTCACCATCCAGATTAGTAAAAGGCTTCTACATGGAGATTGAGCTGATTCAATCCAAATTAAATGCCTTTTTTAATCTATAGTAGGGAGAATGAGCTACTTTAAAAGGTTAATTTACATATTACAATGACAGACATCACATCGATAAAGGAGCCGCCTCTGTCTCAGGGATTAGGTCCTTTAGTAAGGCATAATCCTAATATCTGAAGGCATTGAATTTCATTTAGATCTAAGAATATCGTCTTAATTCTAAGTCTTTCTATGAGGATGAATAGTTGTCCCTTTACGGAAGGAACTAATCCACGTTCAATCCAACTACCTTAGGCCATTACCCTCTGGGCACTGTAATTCCACAAGAGGTGCTTCAAAAGCGGATCGCTGAGCACGAAAGTGAACAATCCTTCGAGGCCCTTCGTCGCAAAGTCGAGCAGGCGGATGAACAGTGGAGACATAAGCAGGAGATGGAGCGTCTCATTGCTGAGCGTCGAGGACATCTACAGGATCATGGAGATGATCACCAGTTGGGGAGTCTCACATTCCTGCTTATGTACGTGCTCTAATGTGTCCTTTTGGTGATGACAAGTGGGTAGGTTGGAGTCTTGACTGCTTAGTGTTGTCCAGACCTGACTATCAAGACTTTGAGCACGGACGTGATAGTTAAAACGGAGGACAGCACAAAGCAACTCAATCCTCTCTTCCTTTTCACCTCTGT